AACAAAGCTTATCTAATCGCAATGAATTATTGTACGAAAAAAGAAACTTTAAACAAATGACGTCTGCATGCATCCTCAGTTACACAGTACGATTGTCAGCGTCAATTTTATCATAATTGAAATTAAGAAAGAACATGGTATTCTATATTTGTTTACTGTTTGCCTGTTTCATTCAAGTGATTAGGTATTTTAGGACAGAAAAAGAACAAAATCAACATTCATTAGATACACATACTGTCTTTGAGATAACACTTCAATTAAGTTGTAAAAACAGAAGAAATGTTTCGTTATCATTGTCAACTCAAGTCGTAAACCATCATAAACGTGATTGTTTTCACACGTTAAAGTGAAATATGGTTGTTGCTCCACAGATTTTTACTTACTGGTTCCGAGATTTTTTTCGAGAGTGAAACGTTTGAAGCTAAAATATCATAAAAATATTGAAATTCATCGTAGATTGGAGTTGAAAATAACAAAATCCACACGGTAAGTTCGAGCCTTGAATTTATTTTCATCTTTTTCTGGAAAAACAACGGGAGATTTTCAATTAGTTTCTAGGTTGATTTACATCGTTTACAGTTTTAAATCCTTTGTGTTGTTCAAATTCGGCTTTTTTTTGTTTTGAATTTTGGGTGTTACATTTTTTGCATTATTGAAATAAACTTACTGTTCATTGAATTGAACAGTGAAAGTCATTTCCGAGAAGCGGCATTTTCATTGAATGACGTTAATTCCATAATAGTTCAACGGAATATACTTCAAACCGCCATAAAAACCATCAACAAAGTATTTTTAACTTGGAAATGTGGTTTGAGATTTGTATCATTTCCAAAGTCTAAATGACCACAAGATCGCAATACCGCAATTAAATGACTATTTGTTTAAAAAAAAAATTAACAAAAGACAAAGTCTCAAGTTGAGATTCTCAACTTAATGAAATGAGATAATCTTATAATTTACCAAAAGTTCAAACATTTTGTATTTTTGTATCGAATGCTTCGCAGGGTTGAAGGGTTAAAAGAGCAAAAAAATGTTGATTCTTCGGCAAAAAACGCTTAAACCAAAATGCGAATTCCGAGCAAAAAATATTAATTTCCATCTAATTGTTGATTCATTGCATATATTTCATAGCCAGTGATTATAACCCACAAACGAATATCGCCAATGTTCAGTACTTTAGGTCAAAAACACACTTTAAATAACGAAATTCGTTGAACAAGTCTACAAAGTATCGCAAAACATCAGAGTGCGACATTGCCAATCTGGTAAAGGTCGATTTTTTTAATAACACTAGCAAATTACCGGCAAATTGTAGCTACGCGAAACGATGTTCTACTATTTGTTTCGTGTCGTCATCACTGCGATGGTATGAGAGGCGTTTTTTTCGTATTGACATGTGCGTCGAAAACGAGTTTTAAATTTTGCTCACTTAACAGTGTTTCTCTCTCGCTCTTTGATTCTCATTCCGCTTCTCTGTATGATGACAAAAAATATGCTCTCGGCGAACAAAACATGTGCTTAGTCAGTGTATTGACTAGTTGAATCAACTAGTGATTGATAGTGTATGTCGTATGCGAGTATTTATAATGAATTGAACGGTTGTTTCCTCTCATTTTCGAATTGAAAACACGTGATCGCAAGCAAAAGAGCGAGAATGTGCGAGTGTACAATGTTCATCGTTTGCATTTTGCCGTTCTACGATCTCCGGTCGATAGCCAGTTGTAAGTCGACGGAGCACCAGACTGAAATAGTTTTTGTGCTCAGCGAATGTGATAATAAAAGAATGCGCTGATTGTTTTGTTCAAGTCGTCAGCTGTTATTCATTCTAGTTTCATAAAAACGATAGTAAAAACAGGGCTGCGATTCAGTGAAAGAGCTGCATTGAGAAGTGAAACTAAAAGATTTGTTCAGTGGTTTACGTATTGAAACGAAATGAAATAGGTGAATAGTTCTAAAATTTGATTCAAATTATAGTAAGAGAAGCAGAAAAAGGAGTGACAATTTGGAATTCTACTTGAATCCAGTTCAGAGTTTTGAATTCTTGGTTGAAATAAGCTAATTGTGAATTCTGTTTAAAATCAACGCACTTTATCATAATTTTCGCGAAGTTTTTTTTTTCTTTCAATAATCAAACCAAACGATACATTGACAATATCCATTGGAAATAAAAAGAAAATCAACTTGTTGGACGAAAAAAAAAATTGAGGAAAAAAAAGAAAGAAAAAATCAATGAAGCACAAAGAAATTAGCGTAGTACTAATTAAGTCGTTGTTTCTGTGCTCAAATTCATTCTGTGTCAACGGTTTATCGATTCTATCGTGATTCGCAACAGAGAAACTTCAACGGATGTTCATGTGATGTTCCATAAAGCAAAACAACTTTTGAGCTGCTTTGATTCGGTTGTTAAGCGTATGTGTGTAAATGCGCAACACTTGAAACTTTAGTATTAAATACAACACAAAAACTGTTTGTAGAAATTCCGAAATTGAATGAAATAGAATGAATTAATGGGTTATTTGTTTTCTGATTCACTGTGAAAAATGTGTAACATCAAATCAAAGTAGATAAAAAAAGATCAGAATACTCAGAATATGCGATCAATTGTGAAACAGACGATTGAGTGAAGTGTCCGAGCGCGTGTCAGCATCACAATTCATTAGTCATGGCTTTAATTTCAATTGCTCCGTACAATTGAGCTGATTGTTTTGTTGACGCGAATCGTTGGCCATATGAACGGGGAACGGAATCAATTTTCTGTAGTTAAACTACACAGTGGTTTACATTTATGTTATGGAATTGTGTTTTTGATTGATTGTGTGTGTGACAAGTTTTGAATAAGTCAGAGAGTATCACTCAACTTATCAAAGTTGATGATTTTTTTTTTCCACGAGAAGAGGAATACTTTATGGTATTGTTCATCGTTTAAGTTTCATATTTTCTTATTGCGTAAAAGAAAGTTTCATTTTTTATCTTTTTGAGCATCAAAATTGTGTATCTGAAGAAAAAAATGTTTTTACCTAGAAAAATCGTTGAAAAATCTTCTTTTTCCTCTAAAAATTCTTTTTCTTGCTTCTTTTTTACGGCCAAATTATGTTTTTATTATTATATTTTGACGAGCTTAAAAGAAATTTTGGTTCTAATCCAGAACCACCTTGTGCCAAAGTACAAAATTGGCGCAACGGAGACGAATTTTCAGGTTTTTGTGTCTGATCTCAAATGTGAATGTCATGCAAATGAATGCGCATATTAAATTGTACATTTGTGTGAAGAAGAAATGTGAGACAGTAGTTCAATGAACCGTTGATGTCGCAGCGCGGGAAAAAACATTTTGTTCAAGATTAAATATCAATGTTTGTCCAAGTGTAATGCACAAAAATTAAAACAACTCATTGGTTACAGTGAGGATGATTGATCGATGCAATAACAACCGACCTTCATGAACGAAAATTAATGATTTTCAATTGCAGAAGAGATAGAAAATGTCTCGGATAATCAAAATTACGTTCAATTTCGAAGCAGAAAAAAACGGATTCTTCGATAGAAGATTGTCTTTACCTAATGTATCAATTTTGGTTGAGCTGCTTTGATTCGGTTGTGAAAAACATTGCTGAGAAAAAGTCAAAAACGTTTTTCTCTGGAATATTGAATTCGTTGCTCACGCCTGCTGTCGTCGGCTATGATACCAAAAAATCACACCGAAAAAGTACCGCCAAATATAAAATAGGAAAAATCACCAATACCGAAAATTGTAACTCAATAAAAATCTGTGCGGTGCTTGAGAAATCACGCAATTTAATCAAATGTTGTAATCACAAATTGTAAGCTCGACGCGTGGCTATGATCGGATAGACAACCGAACACCGAAATTGGCCACAGGACAGATCGAGTTTGATAAACAGATTGATTCGGATGGCATTGTGTCTGAGCTGCTCAGACTGATTAATAAGAGTATGCGCTGATTTCTCGATTTTATTGGGTATTTTGTGCGATATCATTTATTACTGAGCAATTGAAATTAGTTTTAAATCGGTTCGATTCAAGTGAAATCAAAAGCAATACCCGAGAAACATTCGCGGATTCCTGATTTGCGATAATTTTTTTTGAATAGCCATAGATTACTACTTGAAGCCAACTCCACAATGAAATAATACTGATAAGAAAACTAAAGACCAACAAAAGTAATATTCAAGTACTTGTGACAAAGCTAGATCTTAACGGCCGAGAAAAAAAAATTGAAATGAGCAATCTGAACCGAGAGAAATGAGCAATCTTGCAAGATCATGATCTGAACATGGAACAAATCTTCAATTTCTTATTAAAAATCAAATTGAGGTTGCATCACAATTAACGAGTAGTGCATTGTTCAAGCTTGGCAATATCTTCGCCTCCAACTGTCGTCGCTGAAGGCAGAAATCTAAATCTAGTGATTTGATTGCTAAAGCAAGGCTATTCTTGATAAATCTGCAATAATTCCCGTATAAAATATAATGTTGACAAACATATATGATAAGCCAACCAAAGCCAACTATTCGCATTGAGATTGAATGCCGGTTGAAGAATGAATCGTCATTCGACTTAGCTCGATTGACTCGCAATATCCACTCGATGATTCAATATTCTATTTTGATTTAATAGAAGCAAAAACAATCGCCGCTGAAAACGAAAGTCGGAAAATACGCAGAATAAATGCGAAGCGAATAAAAACAATAGGAGCAAATTGTTGAGTGTCGATAAGCAAAACGCTCTTAACGTGCCAATTGGCATATTAAGATACGCGCGTCCGTGTGTATGTTAAAAATGAGGAAAAAGACCAAAAAATTCAATAAAATAGAGAATGATAAGCGGCAAGATACGATAAAAGATAGCCGGTAAATAGCAAGCGTCGCGACTACAAATGCCTGTGCACAACAACCTGTGATCAGTCTGACAAAGAACACGCTACCGAGTGCTACACAGTTAACGGTTAGTCCAAGTTTCGATTTGGTTTTTGTTTTATTTCACTTAATTGAATTGCAAAGTTAAAAAAAAACAGTAACGAGTTGGACGATTGAATTTATCGCCGACATTACTTCAACACCTTTAACTACCCTTTGAGGTCAAGTGCCCAGTTAAATTGTCTAAGTGCCTCACGTAGAACAAAGGTTTTATCTTTATTTTGTGCTATTCTCTTTTGTGTTTGATTTAGTAAAACCGACTAATGCATGATTTGAAGTGAATGTGAAATTTCTTCAAATTGGACGCAAAATTCTAGAATAGCAGTTGCCATTTCAACTCAGTCGATTTTTAAATAGAAGAAAGTTTAATTTATTTTTGAACAATCGCAATGAGAATTTGAAGACGAAAATCTTTTTTTGTAGAAAAATTTCGGTGTTTTTGTATATTTTGCTGATTTTGTGCACAAATCACAATGGGTGCACAAAAAATATTTGTCGAATGATGGAAGTCGTTTTTCAAAGTTGCGAACGAGACTGAAAAATGAATTTTTGGCCCCAGTTTTGTTTAAAAAATCACTTTTCCGTTCATTTCATTAAGAATTTGTCCGAAAATGGGAAGAAAATGAAATGTTCCGTCCAAGAGCTGAAGGAATTTCAAGATTGCTACTAAAAATGACGAAAATTCGAATCATTTCATTCAACCATCGTCTTTGAACGTTATTAAATACTTTCTTATAGTGGAAATTTGCTTGGATTTCATTCAATTTGAGGAAATGAGCAATAATTTATTGAAGTATCATCGGTTTTTTGAGTAAGAAAGTTTTTGTATTTGAATCAAGAAGAAATAAATAAAGCGATTTATTCGTTCAAAAATCATGTTCAGCTTCGAACGTGTCTTTTAAGTTTTAACGAAACCGTAATAGATATTAAAAGAATATTTTTCGTTCCCAAAGAAAAATTCATCGAGAAAAAATCAATTAGAAATGTTCAACGAATCCCTATCATCTGCTTCAACAAAACAGAAAAAAACATTCCGCTTGAAGTAACAAAGTAGCGTTAATTAATTTTCAATTCATTGAATTGTCTCATTTGAAGTTGTCAGTTCGACGAGTGAATTCTGTCGGTGCAAACAAGTGGTTGTGTCAAAAAGCCGGTTGATCTATTAATAATTCATACATTTGTGAGGTGTGAATGTGAATGTGAATTGAAACCTCTAAGCATGCTATGAAATCGACGATAAGCACAGACTGTATATTGACGACCGTACACACAGCGTCTGTATATTTCCATCGTTCAGCATTTGGCATGTGTTCAATGAAATTCACAATGAAACACAGTATAATGAAGTATAAACAAGTTGCGGTAGTCAAAAAAAAACGTTGGTATGCGACTGAATTTCACCATATTGCGTGAGCACATAGTACAAGCTTCGTACGTCACATGTTTGAGTATGGGAATTTGGATTTCAAAATGAATGCTTCAGTCTCTCGGCAGCATGTTTAGTGTGTACATGTATACTGAAAAGCCGGCCTTTGACATTTTTAATAGTGAAGTTTTTCTGTTTAATTTATGGCATACTGCCATTTGGAGTTGATTATTTTTAAAGCATCAGCTGATTTGTACGATAAAATCGGCGTGAATAGCGTACAAGTGGAGGCTAGAGTGATTGAGAGTGATTTTTAGCAAATTCAAGGGAAAAGTCGATGTATTTTCTAGAAGAAATAAAATCGATTTTTTTTTATTGCTGAACAGAAATGGTGCGTGCGTCATCAGCTGCCAAAAGCTGTTGATTTACGATAACATTATTGATTTTTGGATATAAAATGAGGTTCTCGTGTGTATCCCATGACCTTTTTTCGTGACAAACATTAGAATTGAACTAAAATCAAAAATCAAACCATTCGTGAATGAAAAAAATTTCATTCTCGTTTGACTAATCGGAAAGAGTTTTAATCGTTTGACTAAGTTCATCAATTAATATAATAACAATTTAGAACTATCCGAAATTTTAATTCGAAATATCGTTACTAGAAAAGTTTATCAAAACCAAAATTCTATAAGTGAAATCAATGAAAGTATCTTCTTAAAAGTTCCAATGGTTCTCAACATTTTTCCTTCTGTGATTGAAACAAAGCAAACATTTTTTTTTAGGGCCTTTATACAAGCCGTTTGACTCTTCTATTTATTTGTTTCTCCCTTCGTTCATGGAATTAATTGATTCTTTCCTCGTTTTATACCAGTCGGCAATCCGTGAATTCAGCTTCAATCCTGTTGAGCTTAAATGATTTTATTAGGAGCAAGTGATACACATTTTTTTCAAATAATATTGGAGTCTACTCATAATGGTAAATAATGATGCGGCATAAGCCATTCATGGAATTGATAAAAAACGAATTTTCAACGAAATTTTTGCGTATGATTGGAGTTTCGAGTCTATCTGAGTTATGTCATTCGAACCAATGTGAAATATTAGATTACGTTTCGGCGGAAAAATGAAATATTTTCCGAATAAAGTTTTCAGCGATAATTGAACGGATACCGCATTGTGAACGTCATTTAGATAACGAATGTTATCCGTTACAAATTAAATGATTGCACACGCTCAGCCTGCTTGATTTGAATATATAATGCAATCAAATTCCAGAAAATTGCCCGACTGGAACGTGAAACGTTTAAGACAATAAAAACAGATGATTCTTTTTGATTGAAAAAAGGAAATTCTCACAGTTTTCTCCTTTTTAAAAACCGTTTTTCGTTTGAAAGGTTATAAATTTTCGACTCGAAAAATTATTTCAAAAGAGGAGAAAAAAATCTTAATGTCGAAAGTATTTCCATATTCCAATAATCAATTTCTGACTTGTCAACTTTCTAAACCTTTTTTTCCCTCATAAAATTGAAGCAATCGTACAAACTCTAAAAAATATCGTGATTAAATTTAAAGTGTTTCTTCTTGTTTGTCTTTTCTTAATTTAGTGATTCTTGATTCAATGTGCCATAGACTGACATACGGTTTTTTAATTGAGTTGATTGACATTTTATTTGTCGTGATATTGATTATTGATCAAATCAACAGCAAAAAAAAGTGTGAGAGAGAAACAGACGTGAATTTGAAGTGAATTGATCGCTAAAAAATTGCTCTATCAAGCGAATAAAGATGTTTCAAAACAATCTTATCAATTACAAATGCATTATCGGCGACGGCAATTGCGGTTTGTTTCATAAAATTAGCTTAATTGAATAGGAAATTTTTTACACGACATTCGATTTAGAGCTAGAGAGCTAGAGTTAGAGTAAATATTTAGATGAGTTTGAATGAACAATTAAAAAAACGGGATAAATTCAAAGAGGTCAGAACGATGGTAAATAAGAATTGAACTACAGTAGAAAGGAAGAATAGTAGTAATTACTGCAAAAAATTATGATCAATGATGGAAAAAGGAACGAAGAATTCTTCAATTCAAATTGAGGAAAGATAGCTACAATTTGGAAACAATTTCTAAATTTCAACAGACGACGATGTAAACATCCTGAAAATTGTATTGTGAATCTAACTTAAATCATGAATCACACAAAATTTCCACTCGTTCCCTATGGAATTGAATTTCGCACACAAACTGAACATTTTTTTTTGCAATATCATCAAAAGTCTGAAAACAAACAAAAACAAAAGGCGCGACAAAAAAGCATAAACACGACGTTTCTTCCTTTCATTCTTTTTCGTTTGATTTCCCCGCTTGCAGCTATAAATACACTTCGAATCGGTTGTCTGTTGTTGTCGTTCACAGTGTATTTGACAAAGTACTTAAGACGGTGTGTGTTGAGTATAGTTGAATGATTGGTTTCCTCATCGGTTTGACGTATCAAAGTGACAGTTGGCACAGAAATCAACTGACATCCAAAACAATGCAACTCTTGCCAGAAAATAAAAATTCCGCAGAAAAAATGACTTAATTTTTGTGTATTGATTTCAGTGTGAACGAGACGGTGGTCGACAATCGGAAGTCAATTAAATGTAGATTAAGTGAGACCCCGTGATTTAACCGCAGTACGTGTATTATTCGCATATAAACTAGTCAATAGAAGAAATTAGATAAACAATAATGAATCGTAACAAAGAACACAAATCACGGGAGCCGAACCCAATATCAAAGGCATCGATTTTCTCAAAATTAACATTTTGGTGAGTCAATTTTTTTTTTATCATTTCGTTATACAGTCAGTGGCTCAATAGCAAGTAATGAATTTATATTTTGTTTGTTCAGGTGGTTGAAACCGATGTTTGCGATCGGTATGAAACGTGCAATCGAAGAAGATGACATTTATGCCGTCACAAACAGCATGCGAAGTGATCAAAATACGGAACAATTCGCAAAATTATGGGAATTGGAGTTGACGAAAAAGAATCCAAGCATATTACGCGTTATGCTCAAAATACATGGTTTCAAAGTACTTACATTTGGCCTTTTATTCTCCATTGGAGAGACATTAGCTAGGTAAGGATTGTATGTATTATTTGTTGACTCTTGGTATTGGTAGTTGGTGCATAAAAATCGAGATTTTGAATGACGGTAGTGAACGTTTTGTCAGTCAATTCGATTTCAATTCTCATTTAATGAACAAATTGTTCGGTTTTTTCATTCAAAAATCGACTTTTTGCACAATTTATCGATTTTCCCTGAACAACATCGAAGATTAGTTCCACAAAATGTCTAATTTGAATTCAATTTTGAACAAAACTTGTCAAATTGAATTTTTATCAAACTTTAACTTTTAATCAAAGACTTTTGATTTTAAGTTTTTCAATTTTTCATCGGAAACTGGACACTTTAATAAAGAAAAAATTTACGTTTCAGATTAATTCAGCCAATTTGCCTGGGCGGTTTGGTTAGCTATTTTGCTCGAAATGACTCAATGAAAGTTACAGTAAACGATGCGTATTGGTATGCATCGGGAATCGTACTGTCGACCGCCTTTATGATTGTTACATTTCATCCGTTCATTTTGTACATATTTAAAACTTCATGCAAGGTGCGAGTGGCGTGTAGTGGATTAATTTATCAGAAAGCATTGCGTCTGATGAAATCATCGGCTGAAGAAGGTCAAAATGGTAAAATTATTAATTTACTCTCGAGTGATCTGGCCAAGTTCGACATCGGCTTGGCGTTTTTACATGACGTTTGGAAAGGGCCTCTGGAGGCATTGGTGTTCTTTGTTGTAATTTACATGGAAATTGGTCCCGCCGCCATTGCTGGTATGGCGTTTCTGGCCAGTTTTATCCCACTACAAGGTGAGCTCATAGCACATTCAACTTAAAAACTTTTTCAACAACTAGAAACATTCTTTGGTTTAAGAGAAAAGTTGATTTTTTTTTCCGGTTAAGAAGGAAAATTGAACCAAAAAATGAAAATAACCGAAGAATTGATGAAGTGTTAAAATAAGTCTAATTCTAAACAAAAGCGTCTTTTCCACAGCTTGGATCGGCCGAAGATCAGCAACGTTACGAATGAGAAACACCATACGTACCGATTTCCGTGTCAAAATCATGAACGAAATTCTGCTTGGGATTCAAGTCATTAAAATGTATGCATGGGAGAAATCCTTCGCCAAAATGGTCGATCAAATTCGAAAGTGAGTGACAGAGCTGTGACTAATTAATTATAATTGATCGTTTGCAACATTGTGATCTAAATTTAAACACGAACAATTGAACATTGGTAATGAAAATGAACACTAAAACATTTCTTTCATTCGAATTGTAGGAAGGAAGTGGATGTTATTCGATCGATTGCCTACATTCGGGCGACTATTAATTCGTTCACGATGATATCAAAAGTGTCAATATTTTTGAGCTTGGTCTCGTACGTTTACTTTGACAATGTGATAACCGCACGAAAAGTGTTCATTGTTTCATCGTATTTCAATATTTTGAACCTATCCATGGTTTACTTCTGGCCAGTTGCACTAACGCACACGTAAGTAGCATTCATAAAATCTCATTCGGTTGTCTTAAAATATTTTTGTCAAGTTAGTCAAATAGCATCAAACTAATAAATTCATCAATTCAACCGTTTTTATCTCATTTCAGTGCCGAAGCTTTCATATCAGTGAAACGTGTTCAGGAGTTTCTGTTACGGCCAGAGTCTAAGCGTGTAGAAAAAGTGTCTAAAAAGTTTAAAAACCACAAGAATGGAAATGTAACAAATGGTGAACTAAAATCAAAATCAAATGATTTGGCGATGTTCGATAAAAATCATCACAAAAATTCTGGTACCATCACGGATCAAGAGAATGGAATTGCCGCAATTGCATATACGGAAAAGTTAAACGAATCACCTTGCCGACGTGTTCAAAATGTCGATGACCCAGACAAATGTATCCGGTTCGCGAATGCGACGGCGATGTGGGAGCGAAGTGAAAGCACTAAAATGAATGGAATATTCGACATGAGCCTAGAGATAAAGCCAGGGTTATGTGCAGTTGTCGGACAAGTTGGTTCGAGCAAATCGACTTTATTG